TTAGGCTCTGCCCTCTTGAGTAGAGAATGCAGAAAGGCTAATAGGCCTGTACCACAGAAATGCTTAACATGAAGCATTGATTGTGTCTTTCTAGGGAATAGAGCCTTTTCATTTTAAGAGGAAGGTTCTTGACCAGGTACCTCACATAAGATCTCCACCCTGTATATGTTCAGTTTCATAGTAAAACTAATGTGAAAGTTAAAGGTAGTCAGCCCATATCTAAAATTAACAGTAAGTAAAACATCCAGCACAAAAACACATAGCCAGACAAGCAATGCTGAAAGGAGGACAGGAGACATTTGATGTGGGTTTAATTAGGCTACAACTTTATTATTAGATGCTGGGACTACCCTGCAGATACACTGTTATTCCATAATTACGCAAGGGGCTTTTACCAGCTCCCCCTTTTTTCCTATCCAGGTCCCTCCAGCAAATCCATTACTGGGACCTTACCATACCTGAAGTGGGGAGCTTCCACCAGGTCCCTCCAACCAGGGCTGGATTAAGATTATGAGGGGGCCTAAGGCTAATAGGAGGGAAGGGAAGGGCCTAAGTATGAATTACATATTGCAAAAACAAAAAAAGTCAAACATTTATCTACATACATACTTACATATTTATTTATATAAAATTAACAAGTTTGTTCTACTCTCACTACACTCAATTCGTCAAACATACTCTTCTGAGTAAGAGGTAGCATGAAGGATGCCAAGCTGTCCACTTAGGCCTCCTTCCTCCTAGGTAGTGGAGTGCTCATCTGTATGGGGATGAACACTGCAACATTCCCCATCCTGCTCATCTCTTTCAACCTTGTGCTTCTACCCTCAGCTCTCCACATGGCACAGTGCAAAGCCAAGCCCTGCAGGTGTTTTCCCCCAAGCTATGGACTCTACACCACATACCCTATCTCTCTCTGGGAGGCAGCCAGCTTTTATTATGTAAAAAAAAAAAACCCCTACTCAGGTGTAAAATCCCCTGAAGTAGAGGAAGTAGTAGTGGAAAATTACATTGGTGGCATTGTATTTTAGGTCTGTCATGCTCTGAA